ATGAGATAAAGAAACATAAAAATAGTTTTTTTTTTTTTTTCTATTTGCTTTACAACTGTTAAATTGCAGTTTGTTTTCGATGTTTTGTTTGCTTATTAGTACATTTGATTTATTTATTTATTTTTTTCTGAAGAAATCAGTGATTCTTAAATTCTTAGGATCTTTAGTACATTCGCATGCATATCTTTTGTTCCCCGTTTTTTTTTTTTCCAAAACCTCTATTTATATCAACTTTCTCTGCCTATTATAAGCACAAATTTTACTGTTTTTTTTTGTCTTTTGTCTTTTGATTTTTAACCTATTCTTTTTTCATGTTTTATGTAGAAAAAAAAAGCCATTTTTTGTAAATGTTTTTTTTTGTTGCCATTGTTTTCCAAATTATAAATAAAATGGTGACTAAGAAAGAAAAAAAAAAGAAGGAAGAAAGGCAAAAGTGTCGCATTGGATAATTTGTAAATTATATATATGGATTACTGGTTAACCGGATGATATTTGATATTTGTTGGGTGTTGTTGTTGTTATTGCTGCTACTGCTGCTCCTACTGCTGGTGGTATTAATGTCGCTTCGACTGTTCCTTCTATTGCTGTTCTTTGCTTACTATTGCTGTAACTGATGGTATAACCAAAAAAAAAAGAAAGAAAAATAGATGAATAAATAAATATTAAATAGGACAATAATAATAGTAATATCAATGCTAAAAAGTCCACTATTATCCACATCTTCTTTTTCCATTTTCAGCAACAGCAACGGGCAACAGCAACGGGCAACAGCAGTAGCAGCAGTAGCAGTAATAGCAACAATAACGAAGCAACAATACTAAACTGCTAATAACAGTAAAATAAGAATAATAATAATGCTCTATTACTAAGGAACATTTTTAATTTGTTTTGCAAAAAGAATGACAAAAAAAAAAAAGAAAGAAATCAGGAAAAAAAAATAAAATAAAACATTGCAAACATATAGTTTGTCAAATGAAAACTAAAAGCTATAAAAGAAAAAGAAAGGAAAAAAAACTGAAATTTAACCGAACAGGTGATGTGTGCTCTGCACAGTTGGGTATCATCTGTCAGCAGTTAGGCAACAAAACTATTTAAACGTACCCCTATACTGTTTTTCCTAGTTTTTTTTTTTTCCCCCCCCCCAAACCCACAATTCATCCAAACACAACAGCAATAACACGGTTTTAATTTAGATGCAAAAAAAA